TGGAGACGGTTTTCGGGCTATTTTCGGCCATCTGGACCCTTCGGTTGGAGATGACCTAACAACCCATATACAGCCCACACCGACTGTAGGGAAAGATGATCCGATCAGCATAAGCCATTGTCAACTTCTCTTCAATTCATTATTCCACAAATTAATTTTTTTTTGTCAAGCAATAGGTTTTGTTAGATTAGTCACCGACGTATTTTAAATTCACACCATCATGTAAAGGGTTTAAACCTTTCCACCACTTTGGTAAAGGCCATTTGCCCCCCAAATTAATTGATCAAACACAGCCTTAACTTGGAACAACAAAATATTGATTGACAGCTGAGAGAGTTGATCCAGAAGATAAAGGAAAAATTGTTAAACCCTAAACACTGAAGCCAAGTTGCTAGTTTAATTTATATTTTAATTTCCTCATTCTCAACACCTGAGATTAAGATAATTTGGAGTTGAAGACGACCTTTTCCTTGATTAGGAAACTGGCTGCGCCATCCACATCACATGCCACCAACCCCATGCAAAAAAAGACAAAACTTGGTTTTCAAACCGAACCGAGTCTTTTTCTTCGATTCGGTTCACAATTTGAAGACCATTTTAAACCAAACCGAGCTGATCCCTACTAACAAAGTAACAAGTAATAACAAGAACACAAGAAAAGAAATGTTAATATATATACACATGCGAGCCTCTTCTTAATATATACAAGAATAATAATATTTTTCTTGAAAAAAAAGAGTAAGATTACATAGAAGATATTACTACAAATAATTACTGGAATAATGTTTGCATTCTTCCTTTGGGGATATGCTCATTTCCCACTTGCAAATAATGTATACTCACCATAAAGATATTATAATCGGAGACATTCAATCTCTTAATATTTATTTGAATATTATCCCTATAAAAAATCATTTGAATCGTGATCGTTTAGTCATCTAAATCTATTGAATAAATCAAAGGTGCATGTACCAAGTAGCATATTTAGGATCAACTGTTGATTTCTTTTATACATTTAGATGACTAAACGATATCCAATCCGAGTGACTTTTTTGTAAGGTTTACCTTCAAATCAAGATTAGAAGATTGAATGGTTCTGATTATAAAAGTTTTATGGTGAAGATACGTCATAAATAAGTGGGGGAATTAGCTCACCCCGAAGAGGGAATGCAAGCATTATCCTAATTATTATATCAAATGGTGATTGTATTAAAGTTAATACTTGCATTTCTTCTTTGGGGATATGAGTTCATTTCCCACTTGCAAATGATATTCTTTCCCGTAGAAACTTTATAATCGAAACTGTTTAAATTCTCAACCTTCATTTGAAGATCATTCCTACAAAAATATCATTCAAAATCAAGATAGTTTAGTCATCCAAATATATTAACTAAATCAACGGCATAAGTACCAAGTAACTATTAATAACGAGCCGTTGATTTATTTGATACATTTTGATGACTAAATGATCTCCGATTCAATTAATTTTTTGTAAGGACAATTTTTAAATAAAGATTAAAAGTTGAACGATTTCGATTATGAATTTTCTACAATGAAATTACGTTTTTTGCAAATGTAGGAATGAGGTCATACTTCAAACAAGGAATGCAAGTATTATTCTTGTATTAAATATATGTAAGCATTATAACCAATCTTATAAATATGTGCTCTCACATCATTGTTATATTAAATTTTTCTGTAAAAGTGATTAATTGTATAATTGAAAATGGTGTTCTATGCCTAATTGTATTTACAAAAATATTTTTATGAAAAATAATTTCTCAGTTTCATAAAATTCTTTAATTTTTTAATTAAATAAATTAAATGACAACAATTTTACAAAAGGAAAACTAATGAAAATTGTTTGAAAACTTTAAGTTTTAACGATAAAGACAAAATAAAGCGTAAAATGAATAGTACCAGAAATGACTTTTTAGTATAAAAATATGATTTTTCGTCAAAATGAACAGTAACGAGGGCTTTTCGTTAAATTTCATTTTTACAAAAACATAAGAAGGATATCAATTTTTTATTTTTTTTTGTTCAACTGAAGGATTTCGAATTAGGTGGGTAACAGTCACTACACTTTTTTTATCTTATTTTTCTCTTTTGTTTTGTTTGGTTGTGGTTGGATTTGTTTAAATTCGTTATTATTTCGCGGCTTAAATAAGAACACAAAATGGAAGCCTCCTCAGTCGGTCAATAATTTCCAGCGCCATTACAATTTACAACTTTATATATTCATCAATAAACGTCAAAATTTGTCTTCCCAATTTATGTTTCTAATTTTCTCTCTCTAAAACTCACATTACACAGCACGCTGCTGCAAAATTGCTTGAAGCTCTGTCTCTCTCCGAACATTGCAAATATTCTCGAGAAATTTCAAAACTTTCCCGGGAAATTAAAAGGGTATTTTCATATTTTGCACACTGTCCAAATGAGTATCTAAAGCTTGAATCTTCTGCTTCAGTGGCGGAGAAAAGTTACAATGGAAGGTGGAAAAGGCGTGGGGGAGAAGAAAGGAACAAACGATGTGGTTTTGCAGATTTCGGGCGGTGAAGAACACACGAGATACAGTAACGAAATCAGAGACTCGAATCTCCAGCTGACAAAGCTTCAGAGCCTCAGGGTCTATGGCTCTGCTTCTCCAGAAATCCCAAAGCCGAGTCCCTCCCCGCCGCCGGGGAAGCCACCGAAAATCCTAGCCGAACCCACTTCCCGGCGAGCTTCGTTTCCCGGTCCGCGTTCTCGAAGCCCAAGTCGAGGTTGTGGAGCCGGTTCCTCCTGCTGAAAATAATGCGATCGACGAAATTCCCCAGTTGAAGTCAACTGCTAATTCCCCCAATGTGCATCGCCAAGCTCCAAAATCGCAGCCACAACACCGAGAGACGCTCTGAGATCAGCCCCGATAACCCCACGAACGTCGTTGAGTTAGCATATATACGATGAGATGCTAGCATATATTTATGATGATATATGTGGTGAAATGCTAGTATATATATGATGAGATATGTAATGAGATGCTAGCATATATGTGATGACATTTGTAATGAGATGCTAGTATATATGATGAGATATGTTACGAGCTGGCATATATTCTAGCATATATTTATGATGAGATATGTGATGAGATGCTAGTATATATGTGATGATATATGATGAGATGCTAGCATATATTTATGATGATATATGTGATGAAATGCTAGCATATATGTGATGAGATATGTAATGAGATGCTAGCATATATGTGATGACATTTGTAATGAGATGCTAGCATATATGATGAGATATGTTACGAGCTGGCATATATTCTAGCATACATTTATGATGAGATATATAATGAGATGCTAGCATATATGTGATGATATATGATGAGATGCTAGCATATATTTATGATGAGATATGTGATGAGATGCTTGCATATATGTGATGAGATATGTAATGAGATGCTAGCATATATGATGAGATATGTTATGAGCTAGCATATATGATGAGATGCTAGCATATATTTATGATGAGATATGTAATGAGATGCTAGCATATATGTGATGACATATGTAATAAGATGCTAGCATATATGATGAGATGCTAGCATATATTTATGATGAGATATGTGATGAGATGCTAGCATATATTCTAGTATATATTTATGATGAGATACTAGCATATATTTATGATGAGATATGTGATGAGATGCTAGCATATATGGGATGAGATATTGATTCAACCTTACATGATAGGTGGATCCGGCTAACATGTAATTTCCTATTGGTTTATTTCACTTGGGTTACTCATTCCTGTTAAGATATTTGACGTAGCATAACCGTAAGACTATTATTTTGGTTATGGTTTTGATTTATAGTCACGCATGTTATTTTCTGGGAAATTAAACAGGTATTACGGCGAAGGGCTACTATCTTTGGTAGTTGAAATTGGTTTGAAGAGTTTTATTTCACTCACTCACATTTTCTGTTTTTGTACCCCTCTAGGTTCTAGCAGTAGAGTTCCGTATCGACGAAGATTCGTGGCACTTTTCAGCACAGATGTCTTTTATGATGGTATAATCATTATCTCACCTTACTGTACTATACCTATGCTATGTATCGCGCGTGAAATAGATCCAGATCCGCCCACCACGCACTCGTGTACTTAGGCACTTTTAGATTTTAATTTATTCACATTTTATTTATTATCACACTTTATGGCTGCATCACCTTTCAGGTGTCAGCCAGCACAGCTCGATTCAAAGTCCTAATGGACATTCCGGATCGGGGTGTGTCAGTTTCTCTCTAACATCATATAGTAAATTATTGTAAAAATTTTCAATGTTATTTTCGTTTTAAGATTTTTTGAAACTTTTACAATTTGGATCACCTAATGTTGAAATCATGGATCTTCCATTGTTTATATGCGTGAATTGTTTCAATATTTTTTTATTTCGTCATTTTCTTTTTTTATCAATAGTGCTATGCGCCTTTTAAGATGTTTTGAACACAACATTCATGATTTTTCTTATTTTTTATTACATTTTTCTTCCCCCATCACATGGGCACCATCAACTTTGTCATTTGTTTATTCTTTTCTCTCTTCCCTTTCATTCTTTTTAGGAATGTGATATCCACACACCCCTTTTTACTTCTCGCACACCCTTCTAATTTTCGGCCGTTGGATCGGATGAAATGAAGAAGATCAACGGACATAAATTAACAAGGGTGTGTGAGAAGTAAAAAGGGGTGTGTGGATAGCACACCCCTCTTTTTATTATTTTCTCTCTTCCCATTTATATTTATATTATATTTTATAATGATCAAATTACCAAATTACCCTTGTATGATTTGATATATTATTTTAGGTTGGTTTTGGATTTTTTTGGCTGAGGGGCATTTTGGTCCAATGCTTTTTGTCGAAGCCGGTGACACCAAATCCCACTGTTCACTGTCTCTCGCTATATATATAGATATAGATTTCGCGGCTTAAATAAGAACACAAAATGGAAGTCACGTATCCCTCTGTCAGTCGGCTCTCTTTGTCTTCCCAATTTATGTTTCTAATTTTCTCACACAATCCTTTTCCATAAAATCTTACTAAATCTCTCTTTCTCTCTCTAAAACTCACATTACACAGCACTCTGCTGCAAAATTGCTTGAAGCTCTGTCTCTCTGCGGACATTGCAAATATTCTCGAGAAATTTCAAAACTTTCCCTAGAAAATCCAAAGCGTGTTTTCATATTTTGCTCACTGTCCAAATGGGTATCTAAAGCTTGAATCTTCTGCTTCAGTGGCGGAGAAAAGTTACAATGGAAGGTGGAAAAGGCGTGGGGGAGAAGAAAGGAACAAACGATGTGGTTTTGCAGATTTCGGGCGGAGAAGAACACACGAGATACAGTAACGAAATCAGAGACTCGAATCTCCAGCTGACAGAGCTTCAGAGCCTCAGGGTCTCCGGCTCTGCTTCTCCAGAAATCCCAAAGCCGAGTCCCTCGCCGCCGAAAATCCCAGCCGAAACCACTTCCCGGCGAGCTTCGTTTTCCCGGTCCGCGTTCTCGAAGCCCAAGTCCAGGTTCGTGGAGCCGGTTTCTCCTGCTGAAAAGAAGGCGACCGACGAAATTCCCCAGTTGAAGTCAACTGCTAATTCCCCCAATGTGTCATCCAGCGGGGAGGACGACGATGAGGAGGTTTACAAGATTGCAAGGCTTAAGGTGCGTGAGAAGTGTGGTAAGAAGATGAAAAAGTTGGCACTAATTGAGTTGATTGCATTTGTTTGTATTGTTGGGTTTTTGATTGCTTGCTTAACTGTTCCTAAGTTGGAAAAGAAGATGTATTGGGGGTTGGAATTGTGGAAATGGTCTGTCTTGGTGTTGGTTGTTTTGTGTGGTGGATTGGTCACAGAATGGTTTATCAATGTTCTGGTTTTCGTGATTGAGTTGAACTTTTTGCTTAAGAAGAATGTTCTGTATTTCGTTAACGGGTTGAAGAGAAGCGTACAGATTTTTATTTGGTTGGGTTTGGTTCTTCTGGCATGGGGTTTGTTGTTCCACCGCGGAGTGAAGAGGTCAAGGAAAACCTCTAGGATTCTAGGCTACGTTACAAGGGGTCTGGCTTCGTGTCTAATTGGAGCGGGCATATGGCTGGTGAAGAATTTGTTTGTCAAAGTGGTAGCTTCTTTGTTTCAATGCAATAGATTCTTTGATCGGATTCAAGAATCAATTTTTCATCAGTATGTTGTCCGCACTCTTTCCTGGATTTCTCTGATGGAAAGGTGTAAACAAGTCAGGAAGATCCCAAGTAGGGGCCAGTTGAGTTTCAAAAATTTGAAGGGAGGGAAAAAGGAGGGGAAGGGCGGGCTCAAAGAAGAGGTGATTGATGTAGAAAAGCTAAAAAAGATGAACCAAAAGAAAATTTCTGCTCGGACCTTGAAAGGGTTGATTAACGTGGTAAGGAGTTCCGGGCTATTTACCATCTCCGACACACTTGAGAGCGAGGAGAGTGAGCAGAAAGGTAAGGAGATTACCAGCGAGCAGGAAGCAAAGGATGTGGCTAAACATATTTTCCAGAATGTCGCCAACCATGGCGAGTAAGAATTTCATTTTTGTTTATCTGAAAAGTTCCTCCGACCTTTTTGATGACTTATTTATCTTCAATTTTCTCACTATTTTTACGGTTAAATGGACTAGGCACATTGAGAAAGAGATCCTCTTGAACCACATGAAAAAGGAGGAGGTCGACAATGTATTACATCTGTTTGAAGGGGCACCAGAAACTGGCAAGATCAAGAAAAAAGCTTTTAAGAAGTGGCTGGTAAATTCCAGTCCCTTTTTTTATCTGAAACTTCTTATTCTTTCGTTTTATGTACCCACTTGCGCAGAAGTGGCTGGTATATTCCAGTCCCTTTTTTTATCTTAACCTTATTCTTTTTCTTCAGGTGAAAGTCTACCTTGAACGCAAATCGCTCTCACGTTCGTTACATGACAGTAAAACAGCGATAGAGGAGCTGAACAGGCTTGCCTCAGGGGTTTTTCTTCTTGTGATCATCATCGTGTGGCTACTTATGATGGGATTTTTGACAACCAACATACTGGTCTTTATATCATCTCAGCTTTTACTGATGGCCTTTGTATTTGGTAATACTGCTAAAACTGTGTTTGAAGCAATCATTTTCGTCTTTGTGAGGCACCCTTTTGATGTAGGGGACCGTTGTGTCGTTGATGGAGTACAGGTAACTTGGAAATCTTCATTCCTCAAATAACTTTTCACTTCTATTAGAACGACTTTACTTGACATATTTCAACCTGACAGCTCGTAGTCGAAGAGATGAACATAATGACAACGATCTTCCTAAGATATGACAACGAGATAATTTCCTATCCAAATTCGGTACTGGCTTCTAAACCCATCAGCAACTTCTCCAGGAGTCCGGATATGGGTGATTCTGTTGAATTTGCTGTTCACGTTTCTACAACGGCTGATACTATTGTGGCTCTAAAAGCCAGAATAAAAGAGTACGTTGACTTGAACTTACTCGACCTCTCAATTATTTGTTGGATTCAAATTTCAATCTATATATAGAGAGGCTCTCTCAGCTCAACAAAACCAACTTATAACATCATACTGCTTTGGTCACAATATCATGACATGCAAGATTAGAGTTTAGGATCCTTGGAACAGATAGAGTTTAATAGCTGCTAGCTAGGATTCTCGCATGGATTCGTCAATAAAAAGTTAGGAAAACTAATGAAAAGAGCTTGAAAACTTTGAGTTTTAATGATAAGGACACAATAAAGAGTAAAGTGAATAGTACCAGAATTGATTTTTTAGTGTAAAAATGTGATTTTTCGTTAAAGTGAACAGTAGCGAGAGTTTTTCCCTAAAAAGTTCTGTTTGGGTGATTCTGCTATCCTAGAGTAACTTTTTATTCATCTGTTTGTATCTTTTGGTGGTTATGTAGCTCCTTTTTTTCGTTTTGCTTCTCTTTTGGTACGGGAATTGTTTACTTGTGATTTTGCATTGCTGTTGGTATTTCCGATTTCATGTCGTACGTTCTCTATACACAAACATCCACTGGCATAAGCGCACCTCTGAACGATAGAAATGAGTTGCCGAAGAAAATTCAACATTTCAGGTACTTGGACAGCAAGAGTCAGCACTGGCGTCCTGCCCATAGCGTGGTGGTTAAGGATATTGAGGACGTCAACAAAATGAAAATGGCTCTTTATGTTACGCATACCATGAACTTTCATAACTACCCAGAAAAGAGCAGTAGGAGATCGGATTTGGTCTTAGAGCTGAAGAAAATATTTGAAGATCTCGGTATAAAATATAAACTCCTGCCTCAAGAAGTTCATCTCCGCTATGTCGGATCATCCACTGCAGAACTTCCACCAATGTAGCAGTGATTTTTCGTTGTGTATGCTGCAAGTATGTACCCTTATGTTGGATTTGGCATTAAATCAATATGCCTAAACTAAAACAAAATTAGGATATCTTGGACGCAAGATATTTGGATTTGTGTTTCCTAGTTGGTTTGGGATTTGGTTTTAGTATAGGACTAGCTATTAGTACACACGCGTTGCTACAGGTTTTTAAACTGTATAAAACATGTAGAAAGTTATGATGCATATACATGATAGACATTATTTACACGTGAAAATTAATTACAAACTTAAAAAGGTTTTTACTTCAACATAACAAAAACATTTTGCAAGAGTTTTAGTAAGAACTTACTAATATATATCAAGGGATCCCCTCTAATGTACAATTTGCACAACTCAAGAATTTCCAAACTAGGGTGATTGAAGTCGTTTGCTCAGAAAGAAATAACATAGCAAGAAGTGAAAAATGGAAAACCTAACTTATGTAAAAATAACATTATTTCTAGACATATTTGAAGTGCCGAATATGGGAACATACCTATTAGTCATTGGATTACAAACCTTAGCAAGAACAAACAGCAATTTCTGCACCATTGTTTTCTAGCTTCATAGTTCGCATGGTAGGAGCTATGTCTTTGAGACTTTTTTGAGCAATCCATGATACCCATGTGACACTGTTGGCAAACATTTCATTTTCAAATCATCAGGAAATCCAAGAATAATATATTGGTGCAAAGATTCTCTATGTTCGAAAAAATTGTTAAATAAAACCAACCAAATACTTGAGACGAAGAGGTGAAAAACAACATGCATATAGAACAACAACAACAACAAAACCTTTTCCTACTAAGTGGGGTCGGCTATATGCATATAGAACTGAAGGAGAAAATTTATATATAGAAAATACAATGCTCTAAGCACAAACCCGGGAGCACAAAACACACAATTGATATTCACATTGATCAGGTATACCAGAATCACAAACCAAGAAAGACCAGATAGTAAACAGTTTTAGTTAAGTACAGAGTTTGCATCTGCTGCTAGTCTCCAAGTACTTTTGTCGGGACTGCAGTGAAGGGAAGGGAAAAAGAATAAGACTCTAACATAAAGTATTTTATAAATATCATACACCGTCATGAAAAACATGTATTTTTAAATTATTGATACAACTAGAAATTTGCACATGCGCGATGCTGCGGGATTGAAAATCATATGAGATATTTTGCTAAACCTTATCATGAACGGAACAAATTTAGATACTAACAAAAAATATAAAAATCCATTTTTTCAAAGTGCAAAGAAAGAGAAATTGTTTATTCAAAAAGTTGGACCAATGATAAAATTACAAATGCAGTATTGAGTATATCAGTCAAACAAAGCTTGCTACATGCTAAACAATGTTGAAATACATCATTAGCTTTTTCAAATGTTATATGCCATGAATGTAATTGGATAACAGACTTGTTCCTAGCTTGAGGTGCTTCCAATGGAAAATTGACCTTTCAAGTGTTATATGCCATGAATGTAATTGAATAACAGACTTGTTCCTAACTTGAGGTGCTTCCAATGGAAAAATTGACCTTTTGTTGTACTCTCTTGGACAGTTGTGAATACAACTACAAAAATAATAAAGACAGCCAATGATTCAAAAAAAAATATGCATAAAAAGTTCAAAATTGAGTTTAGAGAGAGAGAGAGAGAGGTGAGGTCACCTTATAACCGGAGATCAAATGTATTTTTTTCCTATTATTGAGGTGGTAAGTAGCATAGTACCAAGTAGCATAGTTATGATCAACCGTTGATTTCTTTTATACATTTAGATAACTAAATGATATCCAATTCGAGTGACCTTTTTTATAAGGTTTACCTTTAAATGAAGATTAAAAGATTAAATGGTTCTGATTATAAAAGTTTTATAGTGAAAATACATCATAAGTAAGTGGGGGATTGATAAGGGAATAGAGATCATAATGAGAAATAGACAAATTTTGTGCGGGTACAACTCTTATTTGAACGAACAACTCACCGCTAAGAGGGAATGCAAGCATTACCCTAATTATTATATTAAATGGTGATTGTATTAAAGTTAATACTTGCATTTCTTCTTTGCGGATATGAATTCATTTTCCACTTGCAAATGACATTCTTTCCCGTAGAAACTTTAAAATCGAAACTGTTTAAATTCTTAATCTTCATTTGAAGATCATTCCTACAAAAATATCATTCGAAATCAAAATAGTTTAGTCATCAAAATATATTAACTGAATCAACGACATAGGTACCAAATAACTATTAATAACGAGTCATTGATTTATTTGATATATTTTGATGACTAAATGATCTCTGATTCAAAATAATTTTTTGTAAGGACAATTTTTAAATGAAGATTAAAAGTTGAATGATTCCGATTATGAATTTTCTACAATGAAATTACGTTTTTTGCAAATGTAGGAATGAGGTCATACTTCAAACAAGGAATGCAAGTATTATTCTTGTATTAAATATATGTAAGGATTATAACCAATCTTATAAATATGTGCTCTCACATCATTGTTATATTAAATTTTTCTGTAAAAGTGATTAATTGTATAATTGAAAATGGTGTTCTATGCCTAATTGTGTTTACAAAAATATTTTTATGAAAAATAATTTTCTCAGTTTCATAAAAATCTTTAATTTTTTAATTAAATAAATTAAATGACAACAATTTTACAAAAAGAAAACTAATAAAAATGGCTTGAAAACTTTAAATTTTGACAATAATGACAAAATAAAACGTAAAATGAATAGTACCAAAAATGACTTTTTGGTATAAAAATATGATTTTTCGTCAAAATGAACAGTACCGATAGCTTTTCGTTAAAGTCCATTTTTACAAAAACATAAGAAGGATATCAATTTTTTTTTTTTGGTCAACTGAAGGATTTCGAATTAGGTGGGTAAAAGTCACTACACTTTTTTTTATCTTATTTTTCTCTTTTGTTTTGTTTGGTTGTGGTTGGATTTGTTTAAAAGGAAAACTAATGAAAATGGTTTGAAAACTTTGAGTTTTAATGATAAGGACAAAATAAAGGGTAAAGTGAATAGTACCAGGATTGACTTTTTAGTGTAAAAATGTAATTTTTCGTTAAAGTGAACAGTACCAGGAACTTTTAGTTAAAGTTCCCTTGTTTAAATTCGTTATTATTTCGCGGCTTAAATAAGAACACAAAATGGAAGCCTCCTCAGTCGGTCTCTGTCTGTCAGTCGGTCAATAATTTCCAGCGCCATTGCAATTTACAACTTTATATATTCATCAATAAACGTCAAAATTTGTCTTCCCAATTTATGTTTCCAATTTTCTCTCTCTAAAACTCACATTACACAGCACTCTGCTGCAAAATTGCTTGAAGCTCTCTCTCTCTCCGAACATTGCAAATATTCTCGAGAAATTTCAAAACTTTCCCGGAAAATTAAAAGGATATTTTCATATTTTGCTCACTGTCCAAATGGGTATCTAAAGCTTGAATCTTCTGCTTCAGTGGCGGAGGAAAGTTACAATGGAAGGTGGAAAAGGCGTGGGGGAGAAGAAAGGAACAAACGACGTGGTTTTGCAGATTTCGGTCGGAGAAGAACACACGAGATACAGTAACGAAATCAGAGACTCGAATCTCCAGCTGACAGAGCTTCAGAGCCTCAGGGTCTCCGGCTCTGCTTCTCCAGAAATCCCAAAGCCGAGTCCCTCGCCGCCGCCGGGGAAGCCGCCGAAAATCCCAGCCGAACCCACTTCCCGGCGAGCTTCGTTTTCCCGGTCCGCGTTCTCGAAGCCCAAGTCGAGGTTCGTGGAGCCTGTTCCTCCTGCTGAAAAGAAGGCGACCGACGAAATTCCCCAGTTGAAGTCAACTGCTAATTCCCCGAATGTGGCATCGCCAAGCTCCAAAATCGCAGCCACAACACCGAGAGACGCTCTGAGATCAGCCCCGATAACCCCACGAACGCCGTTGATCAACAGCAGCGAGGAGGACGACGATGAGGAGGTTTACAAGACTGCAAAGCTTAAGGTGCGTGAGAAGTCTGGCAAGAAGATGAAAAAGTTAGCAGTAATTGAGTTGATTGCATTTGTTTGTATTGTTGGGTTTTTTATTGCCTGCTTAACTGTTCCTAAGTTGGAAAAGAAGATGTATTGGGGATTGGAATTGTGGAAATGGTCTGTCTTGGTGTTGGTTGTTTTGTGTGGTAGATTGGTCACAGAATGGTTTATCAATGTTCTGGTTTTCGTGATTGAGTTGAACTTTTTGCTTAAGAAGAATGTTCTGTATTTCGTTTACGGGTTGAAGGGAAGCGTACAGATTTTTATTTGGTTGAGTTTGGTTCTTCTGGCATGGGGTTTGTTGTTCAACCGCGGAGTGAAAAGGTCAAGGAAAACCTCTAGGATTCTAGGTTACGTTACAAGGGGTCTGGCTTCGTGTCTAATTGGAGCGGGCATATGGCTGGTGAAGAATTTATTTGTCAAAGTGGTAGCTTCTTCGTTCCAATGCAATAGATTCTTTGATCGGATTCAAGAATCAATTTTTCATCAGTATGTTCTCCGCACCCTTTCCGGGCCTCCTCTGATGGAAATGGCAGAAAGAGTCGGGAAGACCCCAAGTAGGGGCCAGTTGAGCTTCAAAAATTTGAAGGGAGGGAAAAAGGAGGGGAAGGAAGGGCCCAAAGAAGAGGTGATTGATGTAGAAAAGCTAAAAAAGATGAACCAGAAGAAAATTTCTGCTTGGACCTTGAAAGGGTTGATTAACATGGTAAGGAGTTCCGGGCTATCTACCATCTCCGACACACTTGAGAGTCTTGACGATGAGGAGAGTGAGCAGAAAGGTAAGGAGATTACTAGTGAGTGGGAAGCAAAGGCTGTGGCTTATGATATTTTCCTGAATGTCGCCAAGCATAGCAACAAGTAAGAATTTCATTTTTGTTTATCTTAAAAGTTCCTCCTACCTTTTTGATGACTTATTCATCTATAATTTTCTCACTATTTTTACGGTTAAATGGACTAGGTACATTGAGGAAGATGACCTCTTGCGCTTCATGAAAAAGGAGGAGGTCGACAATGTATTACCTCTGTTTGAAGGGGCAGCAGAAACGGGCAAGATCAAGAGAAAAGCTTTGAAGAACTGGCTGGTAAATTCCAGTTGGTTTTTGTATCTGAAACTTCTTATTCTTTCGTTTTATGTACCCACCTGCGCAAAAGTTGCATTTCGAATTCACCTGACACTTCTGCACTGAGAAAAAAACCAACAATGTATAATGCTACCACAAACTACAGTTTACGAGCAGTTATAATTCTTATAAATGACCCTTTGAAAGGATCTTAATTCTACATGTCGTGAACCTTGAATTTCAATTTGTTTTTCGTTAGAGTTGGAATTCTGGACTCTTAACCTTATTCTTGTTTTCAGGTGAATGTCTACCTTGAACGCAAATCTCTGGCACATTCGTTAAATGACACTAAAACAGCGATAGAGGAGCTGAATAGGCTTGCCTCAGGGGTATTGCTTCTTGTGATCATTATCGTGTGGCTACTTCTGATGGGATTTTTGACAACCAACATACTGGTCTTTATATCATCTCAGCTCTTACTGGTGGTCTTTGTATTTGGTAATACTGCTAAAACTGTGTTTGAAGCAATCATTTTCGTCTTTGTGATGCACCCTTTTGATGTAGGGGACCGTTGTGTCGTTGATGGAGTACAGGTAACTTCGAAATCTTCATTCCTCAAATAAATTTTCACTTCTATTAGAACGACTTTACTTGACATATTTCAACCTAACAGCTCATAGTTGAAGAGATGAACATATTGACAACGATCTTCCTAAGATATGACAACGAGAAAATTTTCTATCCAAATTCAGTACTGGCTTCTAAACCCATCAGCAACTTCTACAGGAGTCCGGAGATGGGTGATTCTGTTGAATTTGCTGTTCATGTTTCTACAACGGCTGATACTATTGTGGCTCTAAAAGCCAGAATAAAAGAGTACGTTGACTTAAACTTATTCAAACTCTCAATTATTTATTGCTTTCAAATTTCAATCTACATATAGAGAGGCTCTCTCAGCTCAACAAAACCAACTTATAACAGCATGCTGCTTATGTCACATTATCATGACATGCAAGATTAGAGTTTAGGATCCTTGGAACAGATAGAATTTAATAGCTGCTAGCTAGGATTCTCGCATGGATTCGTCAATAAAATAGTTCTGTTTAGGTGATTCTGCTATCCTAGTATGGCTTTTGATTCATCTGTTTTGTATCTTTGGTGGTTATATAGCTTCGTTTTTTCGTTTTGCTTCTCTTTCGGTACTGGAATTGTTTACTTATGATTTTGCATTGCTGTTGATATTTCTGGTTTCATGTCGTACGTTCTCTATACACAAACATCCACTGGCATAAGCGCACCTCTGAACGATAGAAATGAGTTGCTGAAGAAAATTGAATATTTCAGGTACTTGGACAGCAAGAGTCAGCACTGGCGTCCTGCCCATAGCGTGGTGGTTAAGGATATTGAGGACGTCAACAAAATGAAAATGGCTCTTTATGTTACGCATACCATAAACTTTCAGAACTACGGAGACAAGAGCAGTCGGAGATCAGATTTGGTCTTAGAGCTGAAGAAAATATTTGAAGATCTTGGTATAAAATATAAACTCCTGCCTCAAGAAGTTCATCTCCGCTATGTCGGATCATCCACTGCAGAACTTCCACCAACGTGGCAGTGATTTTTCGTTGTGTATGCTGCAAGTATGTACCTTTCTTCTGTTTTAGTTCCAGTCCAGTTTTATGACCACGAGCAAAGATTCTGACTCGTGTCATTAACTTGAAATTTTCGTCGCATTTTCCAGGGGGAGGTGGGAGTGAAGTTGCCAGAAGTCTCATCGGAACAAAAACGATATTGTTGGATGTGTTACAATTCATCTCGAGGAAGTTTTGATGAAGAATGCTCAGTGGAAGGGGAAAAGGTCTCAACACTGAGATACTGAGATTTGTGAGAGCTGGTGGAAACACGATGTTGTAAGTTTGGAATTGATTTGTTTTAATGCATGAACTGTTGAGTTTTCTTCATCTCTACCTTTTTCAATCCGTTTGATGAGAAGCCATATGTACATGGAGCACTGAGTTTCAATATTAAAACACGATATTAAAGTGATTGGTTGTTGGGTTCAGCTTATAATTGATGACGTGAAAGTATTGGCCAAAATAATGCAGGATATTAGGCAATTTAATTTATGGTGAATAAGTTAAGAGCGTAGGGGTGAGTGATTTATTATCATGTTTCAGATTAAACACACCTAAGCTCTTGAATTTTGTAAAGCACACTCCCACCTTAAAAGGCTAGTAGCAAATAAAAAATTAACAACCTTAAAAATTAATACAGGTTATACCAAACCGACACGTTTTAGTGTCTCTTTATCCGGTCAATTGCTTATTATAGCTCGTTTACGAAACCGTAATCAAAATTGAAGGAATTGAATTGAAGAGAATCAAAATCCAAATTTCATTAAAAGCTATTTACTAGAATGTTTTGGAATCAGAATAGAAATAGTATGGATTCCATAAAACTGTTTACGAATTCAGCAGAATCGGAATATAAATTAGTATGATTACAAAAATGCCCTTGTCCCAAGTTTTGGTTTGTCCATATATCCCAATTAAATAGCCAAGATAGAATGTAACATCGAAAAATACTCCCTTCTGGAAGGTTGTTTGACGCCATTAGACAATTCGAATGAGAAGGATGATGAAAATTCCGATCTCGACGGTGATTGGGGTGATGAAAATTCCGATCTCGACGGTGATTGGTCCAACAAGATAGCCTTATCGACCAATCCCAAAACAGAAGCTGCCACGTCGGACAAAGATAATTGACAAACTTCCCACCCCTCATTAAGCTCCTCTTCCCTTCCCCCGCTAGCCCCTACCTCTATGACTATCTTAGCAAGAAGCACCTCAAATCTGACACAAATTTTACACAGAAAAAAGCAGCCGGTTTAGAGAGAGAAAGCTGAGCTAGTCTAGAGAAAGAAAATGGCAGCAACCGCAGCAGTTACAATGGCCATGCCATTGACCAATGCAACCCAAAAGAGGATCCAATCCTCAGCCGAGAGCTTGTTCAAGCCAATGCCACTGAGGCCCTCAAAGGCATTGGCACCCGCCGCGTCAAAATCGAGCGGGAGGCTCCAAGTCAGGGCTTCCTTGAAGGAGAAGGCGGTGACCGGAATCACGGCGGCCGCGCTCACCGCCTCAATGGTGATCCCGGAAGTGGCCGAAGCGGCCTCGGGAGTTTCTCCTTCTCTCAAGAACTTCTTGCTCAGCATTGCGGCCGGCGGCGTTGTAGTTGTTGTGATCGTTGGTGCTGTAGTTGGCGTGGCCAATTTCGACCCTGTTAAGAGAGGCTGAGGATACGAAGTATTCACAAATCTATCTTATTGTATATGTCAAGAAATTTTTTCTGTCTGTTTTCCATCTGTGTAAGAAGTGACTCTTAGGGCTAGTTTGGTATTGCTGCTTTGAAAAAAAGCTGCTTCTGCTATGCTGTAAAAATAAGCAAATGTAAAATAAAGCAGCAGAGTGTTTGGTAAACTTTTTTGTAAAAATGCTTTTGAAAAAAAAAGCAGTATTATAGTGTTTAGTAAACTTTTATGTAAAACAGATGTGAAAAAAAACCGGTTTTTCAAAGCTGGATTTTGCAGCTTCTTGTTTTTGGCTTTTTTTCAACCAAAACTGTGAAAAAAAACTGAAGCTGAATGTTTACCAAACAAAAAAAAAAGCTCCCATTTTTTTTTATACCAACTTTTTTCAGAATCACCTCAGTACCAAACCAGGCTTAATCAACTCGTAATTTGGCAGAAAACTGTGAATTCCGAAATTTCGCTCTTTCGTTTTTCGATTTGTGTGCAACAGTTCGATACACAATGCAAACGTAGAGGATGACAATAACAGAGGGCAATGGAAAACGATCAAAGAAAGAAAACACCATGAACTCAAATCAGAAATTTATGAAATTGCCGGCGAGACCACCTATGTCTACAATACCTGCTATATAAATGCTGATGTGATGACACCAATTCAGAGTCACTAGAGAACAATTTCTGTGTAAACTTATCGAAAAAAATTAAAATAATTTCCGAACAATGCAATCAGCAGCATCTAACTAAATCCGTTCAATTTAACTCGATCATGTACTTTACCTAGAGTGCTTCGAAATCATATCGAGCATGTATCGGCTTTCTGAAGAATAGTTCACCTTATCTGCCTTCACCACGGTGATCTTCACCCTCTGCTCATCGCCATACATCTCCTCTTTGATTTTAAGCTTGAATAGAAACTGATTAAAGATGCTGCTCCGGACTATGTCTCCAAATCTTGATTCATCCTGCTCTTCGTACTTCAACAAGTACAGCGCCTTTGCTGAGCAACCTAAGATCTCTTCCCCGGCTTCCTGAAAAGCTGTCGCCCAAGTCAATCCAGTGTGGTCTTGAATTTGGGCTTGAAGGAGATATCTGTAGTCGCACTCCTCGAATTCTTGATTGCATCTGTCACATTGCCATCCACTGTTTCCTGACCTCGACACCTTTTTGTTGCACTGCCTATCCCCGATCATCAACGGACAAGCTGTGTAACAGAAAGAATCTGTTTTGATAAAAGAAATCGTCCCCTTCACAGTGACCCAGTCTGGCTTATCTGATCTTCCGAGACCTTCGTCCCTGATCTGAGAAACAGTTTTGCGTATCTCATTCTTAGTTCCTCCTGGAACAATGTCTTTAGAAATGGAGACTGAAGCAGTATCCTTGCCCCCTCGGTCAAACCAGTCTCTCAAGGTACGAGCATCAGAAATATCTGGGTTTATAAATAGCTGTGTAGAATGAATTGTTCCAACAGACTTGCCACTGAAATCATTAATCTTCCCAGCTTTAACGGCTAAAACTGGGGAAAACCCAGAAGCCAACATCTCTTCAAGCTTTTGACCTTCCCTGTTGCAGAAATCCCCCCAAAGGGTTACCTCAACGCTCTTGTCCGACCGGTCCTTTAGATTCAGAATTCTTCTCTGAGTTTCCATACCGTTCTTCCTCATGATAGGAACTGAAGGATTGACAGATATCACAATACCAATAACATCAACAATAGAATTACTTTCAGCATTTTCAATTTCACTAATCGGCCTGAAGTTGAAGTTTTGCGCTGGTATGGAACCATCTTCATCAGGGCAGAGGTCCACGGTTGAACTTGCATCCAAAGTTATCTCCCAGTCATTCTTCAGATGGTTGAAATTCTTCTGGGCAGGTTTCAAGCTTCCCTTTGAAATCAAGTAAACTCTGCCAACCTCAATAATATCATAGAAGCGGTCAAGAACAGCATTGAAGCAGGTAACTCGTATTTCCCCTCCTTCAGAGTCAAGGAGGTCGAAAGAGAAAACTTTACCATCTCCTTTAGCATTATTATACCGACGGGGATCCCCCTTTGCTGTAACCCTTGCCTTGATAGCCCATCTTCCCTGATAAGGATTCAGAGCATTAATAGGAATGATCCGTGCTGGTGCCTCGTTCTTCATGATTGGGCCATGATTTTTGTAATGTGGAGGTGGTTGGTAAGGAGGCTGAACAGTAGCTCGAAAATTTGGCCCATCGTGTGGAGAGCTTTGAGGATGAAGACGAGGTCTGACGCTTGGCCTCTCAGAATGAGAAGTAGGTCTAAGATTCTGTACATTGTGAACAGGATTTTGCGAAATCATATGATTACCAGCTGATCGCTGAACACTGCCATTACGCAACGCATTTTGAGCAGCTGAATCAGGTGGACCATATGGTTTTGGATTCCCAATCACGTCAGAGTTCAGTATGATAGTTTCCATGTTCAGCACAACAATAACCCTGTACAAAGAGTACAATTCAAAGCTCGCTGCACACTTCGATACAGAAAAATGTAACAAATAATCACACGGAAACACATTCTTGTGTCAAAACACTGCCGACTTCTTACATTCATTCACAAGGTTTTGCAACTCACAATGATTTCAATCTCTTCGGTTAATTTTTAAGTTATCTTTCCTAAAATACAAACGGACTGCATTATAGCTTGTGATTAAGAAAAAATCATCCCAGCGTAGTGCAAATAACATTCTTCGTTTTTCGAGTTAGATGAACATCAAGCACAGAATTGCGACAGCTAACTTACACCAATCTTCACAATCAAAATAAACTACTCAATTATTATATACAAGTACATAAACTGATTCATCAAATTTTGAAATCTCAATTTCTTTATCGAAAATCGCATCTGATCATTGCTCAATCAACCACAGTTTTATCAGCTCAGATTCAGACTCCATAGCACTCATTTGGTTCCAAAATCTCAATTCAGATAAGTGAATTAGAACCCTAACATTATCACAAACACATTCTAATACAAGCATAATCTCATCTAACAATCAAAATTAATTTTAATTAACCAAAACTGAAAACGAGAGAGAGAGAGAGATACGGACTGGCGGTTCTGGAGGATGGTGCTAATGTACTCGGTGAGCTGGACGACGGAGCCTATCTGGACTCGGTTGGTCTTGATTCGGTCGTTGAGCTGCGAAGAGATCATTGCATGCTGGCACGAAACGCCGTCGGAGACCATGAAACGGTACCTCTCCTGCGTGCCGATGAGCTTAATATCGACCACCTGCACCAACGGCTTCAAATTCACGTCGCCGCCTATCATCGCCGCGATGGCGTTCGGCGTCAGGTTCACCGGCATTTTGATAAACCCTAGTGATAGGCGTGTGTCGGCTCGAGGAGGACGCCGACGGCGAGGGAAGGTAGATTGGGAATTTGACGAGAGATAGACGACGGAGTGAGAGGCGGTTGTGTAATTGGCGGGGGCGTTTGGGAGGAAACGACCGAGAGAGAGAGGGATTTTGATTTTTCGAAACCGGTTTTCAGGGGTATTTGAAATTACAGTTATGTCACAGCCCTTCCTATATAGTATAGTATAGATAGGCGCTCTGGCTATTTGAAATTACAGTTATGTCACAGCCCTTCCAATTTTTTGTCTTCTTCCCGGCGCATTTGTCCAAATTGGAATGTGTGCTTTTAAAACCATATTATTTTTTGTTGGAAATTTATTAAACAAAATCTAAAATGTGAAAAAAATGATTTTTTTTTTATCAAACAATATAATTTGTTAGATTAGTCGTCGACAAGATTCGAATTCATGCCGTTATATAAGGACTCAACTTTTTTTCATCATTGTGATAAATGACCATTTGCCGAAAAAAAAAATTATTTGAATTCATGTGAACATTCATTCTAGTCAAACTTACAGACTAAAAAATAATCCAAAATACAAAAGACGACTATGATTTTTTCTAAAGAAGGTAAGAATGGCCTCATTGAATTATAAAAGTCTTGAATTATGTCTATAGTTTAAATATGAGATAAACAACTATCCATATGATTATATCAAGAGTCCAAATGATTTCTCTACTTTGCACGCCCGTTAGCGATAAATAAATATGCAACTAGTGACTCTTTGGGGACTCTTATATTATATAGGACTCACTTTTGCTCGTAAATGTTTTAGCTAAAAGAGCTTTTACTAAAAGAATTTAGAAAATTCTAATTAAGCGCCCAAGTTCTCCCTAGATAAACAGGCTTCTTCAAAAAATACTTTCGGTGGTGTAAAAGCACTTTTAATCATTCTAAAAGCAATACCAAACACGTCTTTAAATCTTTTCTTAAATTTTAATTTCGCCGCAGGATCAAATTCTTTCGTTTTAGTTCAGAATTGCAAGTTTAACAAAATTGAGCGAAAAAGGAAGAAGAAGAAAAATACAAAATGGAGCAAAACAAGCGGCCTCAAACAAAAGACGGGAGGGATAAATTTTAAATAAAACCGTCCGAGTGTAACAAAATTTGAGAAACGCATCGGCCCATATTTTGGTGCGGAAAAATTGACACAGGAAACCAATATGAATGAAGAAGTCGACACTCCAAGTTACAAAAGAAAAAATGGATGAACATCTCGGAACATATGTGATGGACTTCAAGCCACAATCGGGACGGGGGCCTCGACCTCAGTTGGGGCTAAAAAAGGCTCTGCAACAGGGGCAGCTAGTGCCGGCCTGATATATACGTCCTCCTTCGGTTGGTGAATTGTAACAAGGTCGGGTAAGGGGGTCTTGGGGCCTTGCTTGCCCTTGGGATCCCAATCGAGCATAATCTTGACCTTTATACCAAGCACACCCTGTATGCAAATGTTTGAGGCGATCAGTTGATTAATAACGGCGAATGATTTGGACAGAACAAAACCACCCCATGAAGCACAATAAGAAGAAGAAGAAGAAACAGGTGAGTGGGACAAACCTGTCTAAGGAGGACGTGCCTCACAGCAGAATCAATGTATTCGTTGACTGGCTGACCAGAAGAAATCATGTATCCGTCTTTGAATTTCATGGACTTGGCTCGCGCAGCCCTTAGCTTTCCACTAATGATCACCTGTTAACATACAAATATCAACTGTTAATGTACCGATAAAATCTAACATCAAGTTAAAATTGCAACAGGAAAATCATAGCTGAAAACTGCTAATGACCAACCTCACAACCCTTTGCTCCACTTTCCATGACAAATCTCAAAACACCGTAGCAAGCCCTGAAAAGAACAGTCATTGGCGGATTAGTTACTGGACATCCATTTGACAAATTAAAATGCATACCAATATGGAGTCAATTAATAAACATAATTGAGATCATTGGCAGTGCCACCATTTAGATAAACATAGAAAATCACTCGCCCTCGCCAACTCAAAGATAAGATTTCAGAGCCCCTGATTAAAAAAATAGCCTGATTACTAGAAATCACGGTTCGATCGAGCATCAGTGCCTTTGTTTATACTTCTGAATGAGTGCCAAACCTACCTAAAGTAATAGTGGATTACAAATATGTTCCCTCCCCAAGGTTACTGCATGAAAGCAAGGGCATTTCACAAGGAATATCTCACGGAGGAAGTCAATCAATTTTGTCAACTTCCGACACAAATTTGCTATGAAAACACCAATATACTTTGTAGATGACATGACACAAAGCCACTGATCCCAAAAAAATGAGAGCCTAGAGATTACAGTTTCACAAAGCATCGTTGCCTTTATTTCCAGTTCAAAAAGAGTACCAGAAACCACAGGTGAAACTACCAGTAATGGTCCATTATAAACATGTACCCTCCCCAAGGTAACTGCATGAAAGCAAGAGCATTTCACGAGCAATATCTCATGGAGGTTGTCAATCACTTTTGTCAACTTCCGACACAAAATTGATATGAAAACACCAAAATGCTTTGTAGATGACATGACACAAATCACAACGCCAATGATTCCAAACAATAGCCTGATTACTAGAAAAATAGATCAAAATGAGTGTCAGATACCCCGGGCCCGACTAACAGTAATGATCCACAATAACCATGTACCCTCCCTAAGATTACTACATGAATATAAGAACATTTCACGGGATTATCTCACGGAGGATGTCAATCAATTTCGTCAACTTCCGACACAAATTTGGTACAGAAACACCAATATGCTTTGTAGATGACATAAGACCAAATCTAACAAATTGGAAAAGTTATCACTATATGTTTGAAATACAAACTACATCCAATTACCAAAAAAATTAATTTGAAGTCCCATTCCCAATCACTTTAAACGGAATACCGTTGGACTACATATAACTATGGTGAAAGTACACAGGTAGTAACGATTAACCATTTACCCTCCGCACGGTTACCGCATGAAAGAAAGTGACTTTCATGAGGATGATGGAATGGAGGATATGAATCAATTTTGTCAACTTCCGACACGGAGTTGGTATGAGAACACCAATCTGCTTTGTAGATGACATACCCACATCTAAAGAAAGCCAAATCAGAAATACAAATGCTGCACATTTTCAACATACAAAATAAACAATATACCTATTCCCCATCTTTCTCAAACAATGCACATTTTAATAATAGTTCTAGACTATCTAATAAATTGACTCGGCATTCGATCAGTAACAAACTAGAGTTTTGAGATGGGATCATATACCTGCGGACGGCAAGGCCACCGAGAAGCTTGTAACGGAGAGACTCGGCCTGAGCAATAGCGCACAGCCCTCTGTTGTTAACCTTCTCAGCGTAAAGCTCAACGCTGTTTTCTGGAAACTTAAACCTCTTCTGTACAACAGAGGTTAGCTCCCTAATCCTCCTCCCCTTCTCTCCTAAGAATCACAATACAATGCCCACAAATCAATCAATTATTTAACATAAAACTTAATTAAATCAAAAAAACATCGATTACTCATTTCAAATGAGAATCATACCGAGAACGTTTTGGGTTCGGGTGGCTCGGATGATGATCTCGGTTCGCATCGGCGTAACCCTAACTTCAACGCCGGAGTAGCCGTCTTCGGCGAGCTCTCTCGTCAGCACCTCGTTCAGCTCGGCGAAGAAAACGCCGTCGGCGACGAACTGCAACCAAAAACAAAGACGAGAGCTTTAGTTGAAAATGAGAATGATTTTCTCGCTTTTCTCGGGAAACAAACAGGGGAGGAGAGGGGCTGACCTTTCGCTTCTTGCTCATTTGGGTCGCAGTCGCCATGGTTGTGGGTGTGAAAGTTGCAGAGATGGGATCTGAAATGTGGTGGCGGGAGCTCTGAAAACCCTAGCTCTCGTTTGGCACCGGGTTTTGGGGTTAAAGGATATGAGGGGGTTTATATGCATAGGTGGAGATTGATCGGACGGTTAGATAATGGACGGATGAGATTTGTCCTAGGCTTCATTTTCCATATTAAAAAAAAAAAAAAACTAACACAATAGTTTTCACTTTTCACTTTGTTGGAGCATGTCATGACTTCAATCTCATGGTCATGGATTTAGTTTTTACCATAACAACATCGTTCTAAGTTAAATCTCATGAACAACAATAGTTGATAAAAAACGTCAATTAGAATTCAAAAACATATATTAGATTGGACTATTCAAGTTTACACCTCTTTCAACATTGAGAAAGTAATTGCCAAGATTTATAGTTAGTAACAAAATTAGCAACTTTGTTGGAACATCAATGTTTCTTCTTGGTCAGACGTAATCAAGAAAAGTGTTCGTGTTCACCAACGGAAATGGAAGATTCAAACTTCAAACCTACATACAGTAACATTGAAAGCTTGTTGTCACAAAATGTTCTTTTTTAGACATGGAGTATAGTTTGTGTTAAACCACACAATACATAATTGTTGACCCTAAAAACTACAAAGCCTACGTGGCGCGCAGGCCGAGTAATTAATGAGCTAACTACGTCCTTCGGTGAATGCGGGGCGTGCCAACTCGTCAGCTGAGAAGTAAATTTGTTGATGTTGCGTTGGGTCGCGCTACTGACTTCTGCGTCTTGCGATTGCGGCCGAGAAAGGAACACGTCTCGGCCTCTTGGGCTCTCGAACCTGAAGACAAGGTTACTATTCTTACGAAGTTCAATATCAAATTCGGCTTTCAATGTGCCGAATATAATGATTGTAACACCTCACTTCGCCGAGAAGGCTGATGAGATGACCTCGACCAATAAGGATTTAGAAACCCTTCTCGACCGAGACTTGGATAGGTAATCAATCGTTCTCGCCGCAGTGCTGTTGATGCCAACGGAAGATACTGCGAGACCGACTGACTCTACGGTGACAGAGCTATCTATGCCGACTTAAGATATCACGGTTGCTTCCACAGTGCTGTTGATGCCAACGGAAGATGTGTCAGCGAAAAAGGAAAAAGAAAAATAACAAGTTGTGAGAGTTTGCGCAGGGCAATTTTGTATTGATTTTGTGGGGCTCCTTCCGTTGCCACTGCCTCTCTATTTATAGAGCTAAATTAGCACATAAAACCCGGCCGTGACCATCAATCACCACACAAATAATAATCGTTACGCGGGGGATGATTATCCAATGAGAATCGTAGCACTCAAATCTCTTTGGTGCTAACGCATTTCAGCCAAAACACATAACAAATCATGGCATGCCAATTCCGTCTTTTGCTAAAGATAAGCCATTGTCGTTCAAATCCTAGTCCCAAAGCCCTGGCATATCAAGCTTTATCCATAGGATATTCACTTCACCTATTTGGCAGCCTTGAGTTTGCTAATAATTATCCCATGCATGCATCACATTAGCTTACGTAATTAATCTTTCAAGTTGGACTCCACCTTGATCACCAACTGATGCCACCACGTGCTAGGACTCTTCTCATAATGCATGATGCTTAATCCCTGCGTCGAATGATAAGAATCCCAAATTAAATCGAACTGTTCTGCTTGCTTCGATATAGTTTGCGTCACATTTATCTTGTATAAAAAGTGTCAAGATAATTCATTATTAAAAGATAATTATTATGATTAAAAATCATAATATTATCCCCTAACAACAATAAAATTATCTTAACTTTCCTATCCGACGGTGTGGAGCAATGCTTACTCAACGGCCTTGATCGCACGGGCCGATGGTGTAAATTTAGGTCCAAACAATAATATAACAACTAGATTTTCCACCTACAAGTAAAAAAAAGTACCACTATACCAACGGTTGGTGAGATATGTGTCGCCTTACGCATCAACTGTTGTGAGTCAAGTAAACATGACCTTAACAAACTCAATTTTTTGGACCTTGAGGCCCAAAAACAAAGAAAGTAGCCCAAAATTTTAGTTTTGGGCTATAGTTTGTGGTAAATTATAATGGACCACTGTCCGCCAGTCCATGTCTAGAAGATTTGGGTTGTCTAAGTAGAAACTGTGCGGCCCAAGTCCTTCCATTATGTTCTTAGCTGAAGAGAAATTTTGAAGGTAACATTGGTACAAATTGTTTAAACGTGGGTTAGGACTATAGAGGATCCAATTATTAAAGGTGCGACTAGAGAGTAAGTTGATTATTGAGGGGAACGAGGCTAAAGTCAATACAACCAATCAATAAGCTGAACGAAAACCTAACTTAGTTAATTGAAAGTTCCAGAGTCTAATTTCAATAGGCAAATTGATTGGGTATGATTCAAAGAAGTTAACATACTATGTATCTCATTCATATGGTGAAAAAAGTGTGTATTTTGCATAAGTTTTAGGGGATATATTTATGGAAACTTTAACGAAAAGCTCCCGATACTGTTTATTTTAACGAAAAACCACATTTTTACACTAAAATGTCAATCATGGTACTATTCACCTTACCATTTATTTTGTCTTTATCATTAAAACTCAAAGTTTTCAAATCATTTTCATTAGTTTTCCTTATATTTATACTTAATGACATTGATATCTTATAAATAATAAAATACAGATTGTTGAATCTTGGGAGACAAACGCCTACCAAACTACAAACACAAGAGTAGGACAAAATTCTGTCACACTGCATTCGTGCAAGCTTGGAGATTGTCAGCTCTCTACATATTATTGTTTTTCATATTTTCTCATAGTGCTGCACATGACATTTGTTAATATCCAAATTATTTGGGGCTCGATGAATCTGTCGACCCACCACCAAACTTCTTTCCTTAGGGAAAAAGAAACAGAGTGGGGAACTTAAGGGACTAACATCATCATTACTGGCATTGTCATTAGGGCATAAATAGGCCTTTTCAAGTATGGGAAGTTGATTATTATAATCTCATTACCTAATTTGGTTCAATTAATAATGATTTAGAGGGAAATGTAAAATTACATAACCACTTGGTCTAACGACATTTAAACTCCTCATGGTTGAACGAGGTTTCATGTTCAAATCACTAGAGTGCAAGGATGATATATATTTAACAATTTATAGTAAGTTTGATTAGTTTTTCTTTAATATTACTCAACATTGAGTGTTTCGTAAAATGAATGGTTGAAAATGAAAATAGAAAATCTAATAATCATATAAAATCAAATCTAACGACTAAAACACTAGTAATATTGCTTCGTAGCATTGGAACTATACCCAAGTTTCATGTTCAACTCGCCAAGATACGAAGAGAGTACACGTTTAGAGTGAGCTTTATGCTAAATTGTGATTCATTGTGACTTTTTGTAAGTCGATTAATCAAAGAATTGTAAAACTTTGTCAAAAGGGGAAAACTGGACATTATGGGCTCCCTTCCAACCTGCAGTTTGCTGGAAATGCAAGGAACACAAAAGAAGGAATGGGCACAAAAGTAGATTCCCACTGCAGAATTGCACATGTTATAGCAATGTTTAATTTGTCTGGCCTGGTTTATTAGGCGACCAATTATATCTGGTATTTCTAGTTTTTCTTTTTCTTAATGATAATTTTTTATTATACACTAAAGTACATAAAGTGGTCCAAATGCAAAGTTAAGCACAAATTAAAGATGTGGACAGCCAAGCAACAAAATAAAGGGTCTAATACAAGGATTTAAGCCCAAAACATACGAACAAATCCTAAGAATCCGAACTACTCGTCTACCGCAAGAACTGCCGTCATCGTCATTAGCAACCAAGGAAGAGGCAAAGAACAAGCCTCAATAAAAAATCTTTAGAGGATGGGGTTCGAGCTTCATATCCGATTCAATGTGTGTCATTCTCAGTCGATCAAGGAATGAGTCAAAATTGAGCTTAGGTCCATCTGTTGACCACTGTAGACTCGAAGTCCACATATGTGGTAAGGATGAGGATGAGCATGAGCAACAATACGAGGCAAAGAAAAAGCCGAAACTGAAAAAATTATGGCCCAATACAATTATGTATTTTAAAAAAAATATAATTAGACGTTTATTTATATGTTATATAAAAAATTTCATGGGCCCCTGTCTAGACATATAAGCGCTAAGCCCTCGCCTAGACGCCTAAGCGCTATGCCCTCGCCTAGATGCCCAAGCGCTAGACCTCTACCTGCCACTAGCCTAGTGCCTTTTAGAATCTTGGGTTTCAGAGAAGAAGATGGGGTGGGTGTGCCAGTGATGAAAGGAAGAGGTGGAGGAAGATGGAAATCGATTGAAAATTTTATGACAAATCTTGTTAGGGTTTTTTACTCTTTCTTTTTTCTCGTTGTCTGCTCTCTTGCCCAAACAAAAACCAAGCTTCCTTGTCGTCAGCCCTGATTTAAGTTGAGGTCGGTGGCAACCCCTCTCTTTTTTGAGTGTTTTATTTTTCTCAATTTTCTGAGCTTCTTATTTTTTAGCGATTGTCTCACATTTGGATGTTTTCTTCTTATCGTTTTTCTTCACCCTCTTCCTCAATCTTCTAGTTTTCTTGGCCTAAAGTTTTCAAAACTTTTATCTTAATTTTTCCGAGTGATTGTCTCAAATTTGAATGTTCTCTTCTTGTCTTAGTTTTTCCTCACCCTCCTTTTCTATCTTCTAGTTTTCAAACCCCTTTGTGATTACCTTAATTTTTCACAATAAACAAAGCATTCCATATTTGTTAATTAATTGTACGATCATGTTTATAACAAAGCATTCCATAATCGTTAATTAATTGTACGACCATGGTTTAGCAGGTTAATTGTTAGTTTATATATTAAACTTGATCAAGTGGATTACTAAGCAAAAGAACCTTTTTATTTGCATTGTTGGCCGGCTCGTATTAGGCGCGATTTGACGGTGCGATCAAGATTATTGTCACTAATTATAATTAGCACATGTGATCATTATATGTTTAATGTTGTTGATTAGCTGTTGTTCTCATTGTTCATGTTTATTCGATAAAATCTAATTAGGCATGGCCGCATGAGACATACCGTGTTTTGGTTACAAGGATTAGTGTGATCTTATGCAATGTTTAGATGAATCTTCCCGTGGAATATGCACAACTAAGCGGACATACCGTGTTTTGGTGCTTAACGCTCACATACGAGGTCGTAGTTGCCTAGCACAATTTAGGGACAAGCTGACACCTATCATGGATTCAAAGCGAACGTATGACTATTATATAGGTTTTACAGTAAGGAGTTAGTATGTTCGAAAGAGAACTGATTTTTAAAAATCTTTATTTTTTTGTCCCCTCACACCTTTTATTTTGCCTCATTTTAATTTACTTACACTTTGTCCACATTACTCACCCTTTGTGAATTCGTCACTCTACAATTGTTGATTGGAACACTTCGAACGTCCGGTGTCCACGTTCGATATCCGGATCGAAGTGTGTCAATTTAATATCATTATACCGGTACGATATATTCGACATAATCTACCCACTCAGGTGAGCGTTTTCATAACTTTAATTTATTTTTCAGTTGATCTAACCCCTCCATTGAATATTCAAAAATCCAAAAACCATTTGCAGCAATCACTCATGTGGGCCCCCGCTCCAAAGATCAGGAAATTAGGTTGCAAAATAAATGGGTCCATCAACAGAGACATGTACTCAATCAGAGAAAGTGAAATAGATGCCAAGGAATCATCAACTTGAGAATAGCCATAAAGGATATTTATTGCTTAAAGGCAATAAGTAAATTATAGGAGAGATTCGTAAATATAACCGGGTGTATATCGTCTTATTAGGATCTCTTTCAGCATACGACATGAGTGGAAGATAAGAGAGACTATTGGGAGTATACACTCGATTTCAATACAAAAAGTTTCTTTAGTGGGAGAATCACTTCTGTGTATATTGATGACATGCTAGCGTTATTTAAAGTCAATCACACGTTGCCACTTGTCTTTATTTTATTTTTTTCGTACATCAGTGCATACTTCAAAATATCAATAACGTGACGTCCTAGATGCATAAAATATCTATGAGAGTGGAGGGAATAAGCGTAGGATGGGGATTCTTTCCCCTCCTCTCGTCCTCCCACAGTATTTTTTCTTCTTCTTTCTCTCTCTATTTTTTCTTCTTTCTCTTTTTGCAAAGATAAAATCTTGAACATTTAAACAAAAAAACAGAGAAAAGAGAAGAAAAAAAGAAAAGAGACAATCCTTGTCCAAAAGCGTAGGCATGGAGAAGTTAAGTTCAATCTACGAGAGAGAGAGAGAGAGAGAGAGAGGGGGGGGGGGGAAGCTTTTGGGGCCCCTGTCATGTTGTTGGGGGTCACTGTTTATACATATCTGTCTGTCTCTTGGAACTATAGTGCTTTGTTTTAAACTACCTATGGAATACTTTATTTTCTCTATCAGTACAATCAAAAGGACTGTCATTGGTCACAGCAAATATAATAAAATTTATATAAAAAAAATGGAAAAACTGGTCAAAAAAGCTCATCATCCCTTATCTGAGATTCTGTTCCTGTGGTGGTGTGTGATTGGGAACCAAAAAGATTAATCTAAAAGCTGCTTTTACTTCCAATTATTTCAGAGCATCTTCACACAGATGTATGTATCATACGCCTGTAAAACTATGTACCCAAACACAAGTTCTCCACATTTCACAGCTGAAAACAATAAGAAAATCCATAAAAACAGCATAAAGAAGTGTGGGAAAAAGCAGTTTTGGCTTCATGGGAAGCAGATTACAGAGAAAACTCTCTCTCTCTCTCTCTCTCTCTCTCCAGTTCTTAGTTAAAATCAAGAAGAAAACTTTGAGAAAAAGGGGAATAAAGGGTTTTTGTTTCTGTGGAAGAATTTGCATCAAAAGTTAATCTTGAACCCTTGATCAAAAAGGAGATTCATCATTCATAGATAGATAGTCCTTTTTGACAACAACAAAAGTTAAAATAAAAGCTGTACAGCTCTTAAGGAATATATCAGCACTCTTTAAATTCCCTGAGAAATTATATGGTTCGACTCTAACAATGTGCTTCTCCATCTGCACTCAAGTTTGGATTATCCTCTCGGTGATTTGTATTTGATTAATTAGAATATCGCTCAAATTAAGAGAAAGAGAAAGACGAACACAGATAAACGAAAGGGCAAATATAAACTTTTATTACCAATTAAGAAGATATGGAATTACACAAACACAGCTTAACTTCTTTTTATCTCTTCAATTAGATCCACAGTTACAGACTTACATTGAAACAGCAATTCTGGGGAATTATTATCTAACAGATACAGCGGAGTTTACAGAATCTGATCAATTTTTCTCCTTTTTTTCTTTCTACCATCTCAACATGCAAAAGAATTAGGAAGACAAATTATAATCTCTCTCTCTCTCTCACTTTCTCTCTCTAAGCAGGCCTAATTCTCTTGTGCCCAGCTTTTCCATCAGACTTCAAAGCCCCACTGGAATCTCCTCCCTCAGAAGAAGTATCCATGGATTTGGTGAAGGAGCTTGAGAGATCAGCATAAAGATCAACCACTCTCCTGATGTTGTTGTTGAGCTCCCTGATCAGACCCACATTTCTGCTTAAATTGTCAGGGATTTTGGATTCATGGTTGTGATTAATCTCATTTATCAGCAGCCTGTTTTGGTCCAAGATATTCTGCACTTGCACAAAGCTCTTCTGAAACGTCTGCAGAACTTTTCCATCAATTTGCGTGCTGCCATTGCCAAGCCCTGAGAATGTGTCACCCTCCATTGATTGAATTAAATTAAAACTCTTTTATTTTCTGAGGACTCAGAAAAATTCGGATCAGATCAGAACCAGTCCTGCAAGATCAAGAACAGAAATAGAAGAAGATTGTGATGATGGTCGAAAAAAGAAAAGAAACCCCAATAAGCAAAATTGGAAAAGAAGCATTCTTTAATCCAATTTAAGATAAAGTTCTTATCTTTTAGTTTTTTACAAACACCCACAATCATAACTTCTTATCTGAACATGCTTGCACTAACCAAAACACCCAAAGAAAAAGTAGGAAAGTGATTTCCGCACTCTCGTTCTCTCCTTTTGCTACACTTATCACCTTGTCTTTGTCCCTTGATTATGCTTTAACGAGTGTCAGAAGAGAAAAAGAGAGTGCTATAATCACTTCCAGAACATAAGTGTACACGAGACAGTTTCTGTGGAAAAAATCATGACCTCCGAGGGTTCTTCTTTTCCACGGGAGAATCAGAAAACACACATGAGTTTTGCTGTGATTATAATTATTATTATTGTTTTTATTATTGTTTTTATGTGATTTATGATAAGATGGGGGAAAAAGCAGATCCCATTTCCACAAAAGGGAACCTTTTATAATGTACTAAGAAAATACCCAACTAAAGCTCAGAGTTCCCAAAGAAGAATCTCAAACACCCAAAAATTAAAATAAATAAATAAAAAATAAAAAGTCAGTCAATGATGCAGAGAAGATGAGGCCATGAGGGTACTACTGCTGCAGATACAAACAGCATTCTTTGATCTTTCCAGACAAAAGTACAAGAACAAAATTAAATCTCTTAAATCACAATTAAATCAATTAAATACCCCAATTGGGTTAAGTTAACAACCAAAAAATAAAAAAAATCTAAATTGGGTTTTTACAAGAAATTGAAAAAATAGCAGAAACCAGAACTAATTGGGAATTCGGAGGTACTTGAAAATTTGCAAAAACTCCTGAAGTGGAAAACAATACTGAATAAAGTAAGAAAAAAAATAATGCCTGTAATAAATAAATATACATATCTTCACAATCCAAAGTTACACACCAAGAAAATATCTCAAATTTCCATTTGGGAAGAACCAAAAAAATCCAGAAATCCACAACAAAGATCAGAACTTTGGAGGAAGAACAAGAAGCCGACATGGTCAATGTGTTAGCAGAAGAAAATTAAACAAAACCCATAAATTCAATATACAAAAAATACATATAATCCAGCTAAACAAAAAAATCCTTTTGTGTTTTTTTATTCAACCATGTTTTCTAAATACATAATTAAATTACAATAAATTCGTACCTTGAAAATCTGGAACATTATATTCTGCGAAAAGACAGAGGTTGAATGGAGGAGGAGGAAGACGACGACGGAATCCGAAAAAACGCTGAAAAAGATTGGCGATTGAATCGAATCTCCGGAACAGGAGAACAGAAAGAGAGGAGAAGAGAACAGAACACCACACCTCTGAATTCTGAAATTTTTTAGAGAGAGAGAGGAGAAGAGAGAATATGTAGATTTGACAGTCACGCTCACGCTCGGACCCCCTCTGAGTGTGTCGAAATTTTTTAGCTCTCTTAATATATTGTTGTCGTATAATAGTATAAAATCCATATCTACCTGTTATTTCCCTATTTTATTTTAGGGCGCATTTTGTTCACCACTTTGAAATAGTGTTAACGTCGTCTTACTTATTATTATTGAATTAGTTTAAATTTTAAGATTTATGTTTGCATATTATATAGATCTTAAAATTTAATCTTATACGATCTTTCTAAATAGGGTGGAGAGAGAATTTTTTCAATGTATTTAGAAAGCGGCTCATTATACCAAGTGTCATAATACAAGTGATTAGATACGTGAATAATTTTTTTTAACAATTTGAAGTATGATACTTGAAGTACCGAACCGTGTTCACGGCACATTAAAAAAAATTTCAAGGGTGGTTAACATTACCAATACATTAGGTTGGTAAGTAAAAATATTTCCTTTATTTTATTTTGGATATATTTCCTTTATTTTATTTTGGATTTAGTTGGGATTTGCTTGTGTGTTTCCTCATATCCTAAAATGAGTTGTCTATTGGTCTATTTATGAGCCACGTTGCTAGTGATTGATGATGGAATCTGCAATTGCTACCTGAATTAAGGTATCTAAAGGATTGACCACGTTGCTGATCACACCTCTAATATAACCGAGTAATTTACTGTAATAGAATCGGTTGATATACTCACCACATTTGTAATATAGCCATTTAATTGACTAACCACATCTATATACATTGTAATTTGTAATAGAGTCGTTAGCACTCATCTCTCTGTATCACTTTGTAGTACACAATCAAATGTTGCATATAAGTTTCTTGCTTGAGAAAGTCTCATTGCTCTTAAAAGGCGATTGTCACTAGGTAAGCGTTCTTTAATTTTTGTGCCATGTGTGAAACCACATTTTTCTCATTTAATAAGCAATCATTTTGTAATTTCTCGTAAAGTTGCGATTGTTGTATTTTGTTTAATTAATAATAGTTGCCTTTTACCCTCACCCTCCCTCTATTTTATAATTTCATGTGAATAAAAGATATGAATCATTAACCATGTGTAAGACATGCATAAGATTTATCCGTAATGTAGTCTATAAACTCGTCTATGTATTAATGATTGAACTTTTAGAATTTAAGAACCGACTTGTTTTAGACTCTAAAGCAATGTTAGTTAGGTTTGCATTTACATGCGAGATTCATCTGATATATACATGGAAAGTCTCTCAAGGGTTGGTTTACGTATGTTTTTGCTTGAAAGAAGTTTTGGTTTTGTGTGTGAATTAGATCCATATTTTTCAGGATGTTTTCTTTGATCTTAAACACAATTTCCTTTCAATTTTCAATTGCAACATTGTACCTCTAGTTTTATACATATTGCACGTAGTGTAATGTAATACTAATGACGGGTCAGGATTTTCTTCAGATACTTTCTATCCAGCTTTTCCTGATCCTTTATGGCGCGTTTACGTAACGGTAAAATATGAGGAATTGAATTGAGGAGGAGTTGGAATGAGGAGAAGTCAGAATCAAATTCTTGTTGAAGTTGTTTACTTAAATGTTCTTGAATCATAATAGAATTCCATAAAGCTGTTTACTAATTCAGTAGAATCGGAATATAAACCAGTATAATTACTAAAATGCCCTTGTCCCAAATCAAATATTTTATATACTTTAAGGGGGCGTTTATTTGCCCTCACTAAAGTGTACTGGACTGGACTAGACTAAGGGTTAGTCCAGTCCCATGTTTGGACAGGGACTAGGTTTAATGAGACTAAGTCTCACTCGCCTAGACTAAATCAAGGACTAGCTGGTCTTAGTGAGAACCCTTGAAAACCATGGGACTAGCTAAAACTATCCCTTCTCTCCTCCTCGCCCTGCTCCTCAACCACTCACCCTCGAAAACCATTGGACTAGATGCTTTTCACAACCAATTTTCATATAAAATACCAAATTGAAGATGGGAGTGAGGGGATTACGATTCTAACTGAATCGAGGCCAAAGGTGGTCGGAGGTGGCCGAAAAATGGCCTGGAAGTCTTGGCCGATATGGGTTTTATCGAATCCATGACAGGTTCGAGCATGCAAAGCTCGGATATGGGACCAGAGATGGGGAAGAGTTTGTTAGTGGTGCAAACCTCATCTAATCCGAAGAGGTTTAGTCGGAAAACTCGTCGGGAAACTTGCAACTCATCGAAAAAAATGGAGCTATGAGGGTTCCATTTGACTAGCGCAGAGCTAGAGAGAGAAATGGAGGGGATAGAGAGATACAGACTGAAATCGAGAAGGAGGGAGGAGAAATAGGCTGGAATCGAGAGGTTTTATCTGGGGATGAAATCGAGAATGAGGGAGGAGAAATAGGCTGGAATCGAGAGGTTTTATCTGGGGAGGAAAATATTGGAACGGAAAAGGGAGAAAAAGAGGGAGAAAAAGAGGGACATAATGGGACGGTAAGGGAGGAATAAAGGGATAAAAAAATAGGATAAAAATAAAATATTAATAATTATGGATTAAATAATATAATATTAGAGTTTGTTAATTACCCTGCTTGTTACTGCACCAAACGTTTCATTAAGTTAGTCCAGCTTAGTCTAGTCTAAGTCAGTCAAACTTAGTCCCTGAGGCTAGTCCAGTCCGAGACAGTCTGGTACAACAAACGCACCCTAATGGGTTTATAAGGGATGGTCTTGGAAATAAAAAAAATAAGTGAGGGCATAAAGGGAACAAAAGTGTCAATCTGATTACCTAAACAATCAGGAATTGGATTACCACCAATATCTAGGGGATCCAATTCCACCAATACATGGAATTGAATTCCAAAATTTGTGTGGGCCCCACTGCTTTTTTGATTCATCCATGTTTAGTAAACACCGGAGTACTCCGTAATCAGAATTCAATTCCACATTATCATTCCGATTACGGATACGTAAACACGCCCTTAATTCTCTACATTCTTCGATGGGTGTTGGCCCCGATTACCGACCCACCATGCCCACACCATCGTCTTCTGGCCTCTGGTTGCCCAAAACTAGAACCAAGTAATCCCAGATAGAGAGAGAAGAGAGTCGGAGATAGAGAGAGAGTGTGAGGAGGGGGAAGAAGATAAACAAGAAAAAGGGCAAAAAAAATAAAATCATTAATATTTTACTTTTCGATATTCGATTGAACGGGTATAATTGAAGGATTCTAAAAGTCTCATATTCCTCCAATGACATGTCCTGCCGTATCATTAAAAAAATTGATGCATTTGATTCTCAAACCAAAATAGAAAAATACACATCTAGCCTTTACTTTAAGAAGACTATGAAAGTCAACAAAGTTAGCTTTTCACTTTCACGCCCATCTTTGAATTCAAGGTAGTGGAAGTTTTTACAAAAAAAGTGTGTTAAAGGGTTGTATAAAAAATGGGTGTTCTATCATCCTAATCTTATATGTATAATATTCACAAAACTTTCATCATCTTTGGTGCACTTAAGAAGAAGAACGAGAGTTTGGAGACGTGTAGAAAATAGAATTCTATATCACGCGTACAAAATAAAATACAATTAATATTTGAGAGATTTTACTTTTAACATCACCAATATATTTTGTGATAAAATTTTAATAATAGGTAGTTAAGTTAGGTCAATATCGATCATGTTACTAATGAACCATATTGGATCTAAAAAGATGATCAAGTATAACCACATTATTTTGGTTATCCATGTCCTTCTCATCCGCTCAGAGTTTGAATTCTCTTCGCAAAAATATCATCCTTATATTTTTTTTTTTCGTAAAAAATTTGAATTAAGGAAAATTATGACATCCAACTTTTCATTTTTCTAAAGGAAAAATGTATGACTTGATCATGCTCAATTATCTACTACACACACTGCTAGAGTTTGGATCTTATGCTTAATAAAAAAAAATATAAAAACACTACAATGGTAATTAGAAATTTTTATTTCTTTGCTCTAACCAGCTGAGCAACCTGAACCACTTTCTTAAAGTATGTTTTTTTCGTCCCTTTTAGAATTGGATTCGAACCAAACTCATGTCCCAGCTCTTAATTTTGTTTCGATTGTCCCATCAGAAAATAAATAAATAAATAAACTATGGTATATCTAAAAGCTTGACTAATCAGGTGAAGACGCGTGTCCTCGGAGGCTCGGGAGATCTGCAAGTTTGGTTCCAAACCTAACCAGGTCCCTAGCCTGCTGATTTGCTGCTGATGCTCTTCCCGCAGCAGTTCTTTCATTCAATCAAAGTGGACCCACTCTCTAATATCATGCTTCGACATTATTATATAAATAATTAATTATTCTTAATTTCCTCGTGAAAAATTAGAAAAAAAAAAGTTTTAACGAAAAACCCACGGTACTGTTCATTTTAACGAAAACCCATATTTTTATACTAAAAAGTCAAACATTGTACTATTCACTTTACCTTTTATTTTGTTATTATCATTAAAACTCAAAGTTTTCAAGTCATTTTCATTAGTTTTCCTAAAAAATAATAATAATAAAATAGGGTCTTAAAGAGGAGAAACTTTTCATTGTGACCAGAACACGAGTGGTACAGCACGTATTTTTATATAAATTGTGGAAAATTTTATTTTTAAAGTTCTCAACTTTTTAACACATATATCCTACCATTTGTATAATGACACATATGTATCATCCCGTGTTCCGATCATACTGAAAAATCCCTTTTTAAAAAAGTGTATCCTATGGACACGCCATTCAAGACCAATATTTTGTTTGTTGCTATCTAGTGTGAAGAGATTGTTCGGTTTGTTCAAAATATGAAGTGTTACATTACATGTCATTATACAAGTGAATAAACACTTAAAAAATAAAATTTTTCTCTATTTATATAAATGACATGTGGATATAGTGTATCACTCTTTGTTTTAGGCACACTGAGAAATTTGTCCACACGTGTAACAGAGCCTACTCACTTCACTTTCAAAATCTATTGGGTTAATTTATCTTATGTAAAAATTGAACAAGGGATTTCAATCAAACATGTTTTCGACGATAATAAGCGCAA